TTTAATTTGTATCCTATAACAAAAATTCAAAAAAAATTCAAAAAAAGAGAATTGTGTTTAGCTCAATTTAAAGCTTCTACGATAGAAAAATTAATATTCAGAAGTTACGCCAAATAAATATTAAAAAAGTTTAAATTTAATGGTCTTTTATTCTAGTAAAATGTAAATTTTATTAAAAAAATATATAATCAACGTGCAAAGCAGCTCTCTAAGCTTGAAGGCAGCTACCAGCTCTCTAGTCTTGAATCTAATGATTACGAATTGATCTTCATTTGCCTTAAATTAACATGTATCTAAAAAGTTAGAAACACTACTGGAAAATGTAGCATATGCGACAAGAATATATTCGAAAGTCATATTTCTGTCGAAAATGTGTACATAATCGACAAAAAAATTGATGAATATGTAAACTTGATGATGATAATGGAAACTTTTTGTTTAACCGATAGTAATCATATTCGACAAAAAAGTTATCGAATATATAAATATATTCGACAAAAAATTTCTGACGAATGTGTTTATTCGTCAGAAATGTTCTGTCGATTAAACTTGGCAACATAATCGGCGCCAGTATGGTTGACAACGACATCGTTTCCTCTGTATATTCGACAGCTTTGGCTGTCGAATATACTTGTTCATATCACTCGCACCTCTCCTTTCTTCCCCATTTCTGCTTTTCTCTGCGACGGTAGATCTGGTTTCTTCTCCGGCGAAGGTTGCTGTCGCTGTTCTTCCGTAGCGCCCCCTATTCTTCGCTCCGCCCCAGTGCCGGTGAGTTCGCCCCTCTCTCGGTCAATTGATTGATTTATTTTCCTTGGATTAACTTACACTAGCTTGGCACAGTTTTTTGGTTCAGTCATTGCATTGTTCCTTGTTGATCCTTGCCAGAGAAGAAAGCCTCCAGCATCTCTAAGCAACCACACCACGTAGAGGAGGTTTCCCGGAAGTTGCAGCAGAGTTTTTTTTTTTTACTTGTTTTTTCCTTGGATTTGGTTTTACAATGCCCCATTTTTCGTTTTTTGTAGGTTGAAATCCAGCTTTTATTGGTCCTGCAGCATCAACTTCCCCATTGCAGAGGTAATTGGGATTTTTGTGGTTTTTTTTTTTTACATAAATATACTATTTTATTATTTGGAGATTAGTATAGATTATTGCTAGAATTATCAGTGAATTATAATTATTTTTTTTCAAGTTTTTGAGATTGAGATTTGTACTTAGTTGAAGAGTTGTTTGTAGTAAATTTGTATATACAAAGTTAAAAATTTTGAATTATTGTGTTTGAGGTTAATGTTGAGATTGATATTGAAATTGATATTTAAATATCTATGGTTTTTGAAGTAGAGTGATATTTATGTTGAGTTTTTATGGTTGTCAATTTGTTATTTATTTCAAATTAGCTTGATTAAGAAATTGATATTGAGATTAATTGAGATGTGCATTATTATTGAACTAAAATGATATTTATATT